ATTTCTTCTATTCAGATGTTCCGCTCAATTGTTGTCTCTGCAAACGAAACTCCGCCTGGAATGCGCCGCCGTTCGAGCATCCTCGGTTTCTTTTCATTAAAAATTTTTTCGAGTCTCTTAATTATGAATCGTAGTCTTTTAATTATCGTCGGTAATTGCAATTAAGATGCAGTCTGTCGCAAGCCGCAGGTGTGTACATCACCCGTGTACGACGAAAAATGGTACCTGGAGAGGTGCGCGAGGGCCCAGTTTCGCGCCACAGCGCGCGGGTGCAAAAAGTCGGACGGGAAGAGAAATTAGTTGTCAGCCACAGCGCCATAGACAGGGGGAGCGAGAGCGACGGCACGGGAGATAAAGAGAGAGAGAGAGAGAGAGGATGCCAGCGAGGGGGGTTCGGACCGTGATGAGGGCGGGGGTGGTCGAGACGGTGAAGGAGGGCGACTCAAAAGCCCCGAGCTTCTCGCGTGATTTATGCGAGATTCCAGCGATGCCGCGCGTAAAAAAGAAAACAGCCCCTCGCTATGTGCGCCAACCCCTTCTCCCTTCGTTCTCTTCCTCCCTTCCCCCCCCCCTTCTCCGTTGCGAGTCGTCGGGAAATGGAAATGGCTGGGGCCGCGTCGCTCCGTCGCTGGAAATCTCCCGTTTTCAGAGGTATTTTCCGAGGGACGGGGAAAAAAGAACGGCCACGAAGAACTGACCTCGGCCGGCCGGCTCTCGAAGTGATTTGCCGGGACACGGTAATTAATGCTAATAGAAAAATTGCTGGGACGACTGGGATTGAGGGGTGGGGAGGGAAGAGGAAGAACGGTTTGAAATTTTTTGCGATGTGTACCCTCGGGGAAACATCCTTTTTTTTTTGCCGAGTGGAGGTACAAACAACGCGGGACTAAGATGAGACAGCGTCGCGTAGGGCGTTCCTTTGATCCTGAGCTTTTAACGCACCTTTCCCTTTAAAATTCACCCTTACTTTTTATGAAGTATGTAAATGATATTTACATACCTCAACTTTGATTTATCACTCTTTTGCTTTTTATTTTGCAAACAACGTATTAAAAATGTTTTGAAACGTTGCGCGTCTCGAGAACGTCACATTTGACAGAAATATCGGGTCTTCCGTCATATTCCCTTTATGCCCGAGCCCTTTGTACTAGTTACCGTCATTACATGCACGGCGATTACAGACTAATTGCACCAGAAATTGATATTTGATTAAATCGAGCAACACGCGGTCGGAATTCAATACAGATGCGATAGTGCCGAATAAAACGTCTGTTTCGCCGCGCCACGCGCGGCTCCCGATGCGTGAGATTTGCTTATGAAATCGCGTGCATTCATGACGTTCCATATAATCGTCGGGGCAACGACACGATTATGCTCGCGATTAATTTCTATCATATCGATCGCGCGTCGAAGGGTATGCGCTCGCACTACTGCCTGCACTACCGCGAAGGCACACGCGCGCCCGCGCGTTGCCGCCGATCGTTATGAAGTCGTTTTCGTATTCTCGAGCACGCACAGAGAGAGAGAGAGAGAGAGCGCGGATGCACGCAAACACACACCTATTCGCATCGTACTCAAGTATGAATGCAGCTTAAGATTACATCGGTTGTCAGCCGGTTGCGAGCGATTGCCGTCGTTGCGGCGGCGATCACGGTATTGTCCCGCGCGACCGATTGATCGATTAATTAATTACGGGACGATGGTGGGTTTGCGGAGTCAATATTGAATTCACGGTTAATGCGTTTCGGGCAATGCAAAGCAGTCGACCGTTGTTCCGAAATCCGGTGTCGATGGGACCATCCGGCGCTCCGGCTGCATCTCGACGTCGCATTTCGTCCGCATTTTAATTATGCATTTAAAAACGCGTTTTACACAACGATATAATTTCATCCGCCGCTCGCGCCCGTCGATACGTAAAGCAATGCTATAAATTCGCTCGATCACGTTAGTCTCACGCGCGCGGTATTGCCCGGGTTTTAATTTTAATCAATTTATTTCGCGGCATTACCGACCAGCGAGATGATATCTCACGCCGGCGAGCTTACCGGATTAGCGAGATATTTTATTATTGATCGCGATAAGTGTAACGTGGCGGTACAAATTCGTAGCAACGCGTCAACGTGTAGAGATGCGACTAATGTGGGAATATTGTACATTACACTACAAAAATTACAGGCATATTAAGTTTATACTCGCAGAGGTGATGTCGGATCGCTGGAGGCTGCACGTCGGGCAATAACTTTTATGCCGTACGCTTTACGGCAAGATCGTGTAAATCACAGCGAGAGCGTGCAATTTAAGCGGCGAATCGAAGCTACGATTCGTATAATTACGCGATCTAATTGCGTTCGATGAAATATCGTATTTTTATGCGACAGTCGCACGTGTTTCCAACGCTCTCTCGCGACGCGCCTTCCCTCCAATTAATCCGCCACCACCATGTGCGCCAGTGACAACGCATGCAAGGCACCAGAAGTTAGAGAGACAGAGACATGATTTTTCAATTTTCCGTCCCCGGAATAGAAGTGGGAAAGTGCACTACTCCGCATTGTTTCGTGATGAACGAGCTGGCCGTTTATAACAGGCACCCATGCGAGTAATTCGAAATTGTCATAGATACTAATACGTTCAAAGAAACAAAGAGAATTAAAAGCAAACGTTAATCTCGATAAACGGGATTGGGCATTGATTTCAAATCAAATGCACATAAGATCGACTGGTTGTTATTAGATTCATATTTCACAAAGAGAATAATTGATGCGATTTTTAATTTAAAGATAAAAAGAAAAGTAGCTTTTTTTTATATTTGTTATATTTTTCAATTTTCTTTTTCGTAAGATGACAGAGAAAATTGTTGAACAAATAATCATTAAAACTACGCATTACATAAAATGTCAAAAGTCAGTATAATGATGGAGAAAAGAGAAGATTCTTTGAAGATGAAAGAGTGATTTTAGCATTTCTTTTATACCGTAAGAAAAAGTTACGGTGATAAGACTCACAAAACGGCGAGCTTGTCGTTTGAAAGGGCCGCGCAGCGAGTCGTTGAACGTGTACGTTGTATGCTTTGATTTAATCGGAAAGAAAATCGAAACGAGCAACGTACGATTTTACGAGCATATCAGACGATTCAGCATGGGTTTCTCGGATGCCGGATTACACGTCGTTCAACGCATTACGACTTGATCGGCCCTTTCGTTCTCTCTCGAAACGGTGCAACGAACTCTCCATAAAAAAAAAAAATCTAGCACAGGTATATCATTGAGCGCGCGCGCGCGAGTACTCGTGAAAAATCGCAATACGTCGCATCAGTTCGTGCGCAAAAAAAGAGTTTACGATGTCGCGGCGTGTAAAGTGGTGTTTCACATTTTGCGTGTAATCGTATTATGAATGAAAATCCAATGGGCATTCGAAACAGATTAATCAATTAAATTATGTCGCGAATATCGATGGACCTCGAGGACATCGAGTACCGCAATAATTTTTAATTTTTTATCTCGCATGAATGATTCATGGCAGCGAGAGTTTTCGGTGCGCTGCTAGCAATCTAAATTAACATTTTATAATGAAATGCATTTTCGATGCACCTTGCAATTTATTTGTTAATCGACGAATCGACGTATCGCGTATTTTCATCGCGCACCCGCATCGCCGACTCCATGTACACATGTATATCGCGATGATATGTGTTCACCACATGAGATGCGTATGAATGGAGAAAAGTCGTTTTACGTATGATTCGGAGCTCATTCGTAATTAGTATTGACTGAATAATGATCGGATGACGTTAGTTACATAATGTGCTCTGCCCTCTCCAGTCCGGATGAGATACATCGTGATAAACGTAAGTACGTTATTTTTACTCTACTCGAGCGAGTGACTTGCGACGGTGCTCGCTCGCTCGCATGAACGAGAGGCGTGTCCCGTTCGCCATTATTGGATCCCAACAATCCAAATGAAACAAGATACAAAACGACAAATGAAAGGAAAGTAAGCACGTAAGCCAACAAATCATCGAAAGTATACGGCCAATTTAAAGTCTCTCAACAATAACGTTGCAGTAACATTTCAAAAACGTATTGTGTGCCCTCCGCCGCGCTCTGCCTTGCTGGTACAAGCTGGCACTAGTGGAACCATATGTAACATTCACATTTTGCAAAGTAATTCCATACGAATGTTCAAAATGTAAAATTACTGACGACATTTCCGGCGCCATCAAAAAGTCAACTAGAATCACCGAATTCTGATAAACATTCGGTTACCGTGTAAATGTTTCTCCGCTTGATATTTCGAAATTTCATTGTTGAACTGAAATTTGATTATTGTACGACATTGCGCAAACCGATTGATTATCAAAATAAAAACTCACCGACGGTAAAAATTGGAGTTGAATCGCAAAAGTAGAAATAATTGTTTATTCGGACACGGTGGCGCGCGTATTTGTGTACCCTCTCCATATTGTCTTCTCACGCCCTAATTCGCAATTATGCAATGTGAAATCGGAGAATTAAAAGGGAGTCTCAGAAGTGCAAATTTCTTTCCGCGGGAGTGAGCGCGTATCGAGCGAGCTGCGACAATTCCAATGAATTTCCACCCGAGGAAATTTAAGATATTTCTCGATTAATTGTCGATCGAAATTGACGCCGATCCTTTTTCATCGTACCGTCATTATTTTCTATCTTACATATCAGGTAATCATGCGAGATTGCAACGTGCCATTGCAGTAGCTCTCGGATAAAACGTAAGCGTCGTGGGGGTGTTAATGGCGTCGGAAGGCGTGCTTGCGATTTTGTATGCACCGATTGCTCGGGGAAGCGAAGCGAACGGAGATTTTCGCCCGACGTGATGCGTCGAGCGATTCTCTTCGAACGTCGCTTAAATTGTCGCGATAATATACTAGGCAGCTTGCTGATACCAGAGGCGTGGCGTTCTCGAGGAGTGCCCCCGTCTTTTTAACTCACGGATATAGAGAGCAGAGGCGATATCGTCCGATATCGTACCGTGTCGCCTACCTTCTTCTCCCATTGGAGAACGTAGGGCACTGGGTGCTCACCGGGGAACTCTACGTGACAGTTGAAGACAACGCTCTCCCCGAGGATAGCCGTAATGTGCACCGCGTCCTGTTGACAGAGTCCTGAAACAAAAATCGCAGTCGTAATCGTTAGTAGCAGATAATGTGACGAATTATTTAAAAAATCGAATAATTCATTTATTCTCACATAGTTATAATATTGGCGATTATGTGATCAATAAGAGCGATTGAACTTTCAATTGAACAAATGACAGTGGTCTTTACGTTGAAGTGAACGTCGTATTAAATTGCTATAAAAATGACAGTGCCGGAAATGAGTTGAAATTCTCCTGAAACATTCATCGAAATTCCGTGCACTTTCATCCCGCGCTCACGGAAGACGTCCAAGTACCGGAAGCTCATAATTTTTGCGGCAAGAGTTTCGTCGTGGAAAGGAAACTGCGAGGGACGGACCGAAAGAACACCGCTCGTGCCTCCTCGACGGGAAGGCATTAAAAGCCATTAAAGGTAAATCAGGGGTAACGGTTGTCGCTCCTTTCCGCGAGCCAGGTCAGGAAAGCCGGTGCTGCGCACAACGGTAGCAGCGACGACGACGGCAGCGGCGGCGGCGGCGGCGGCGGCGGCGGTCGTGCAAGATTAACTTCGCATTAACCTCCATGCGATATCATAAGATCGAATGCGACCCTGTTTTGTATGCTCGAGATACGGCCGGCCAGTAAAATCCCTTCGCGTGTCGCGCGTGGATAACGATGATGTCCCTTTCTCGCGCAACATCAGCGAATAGTTAACATACGTTCGTTCTTGCCGCTCTTAAACCCTGTTTACGATTGGCGATAGGGAGAGATATCGCTATAAATTATATCGAGATATACCGGCCGGGAGGGAAAAAGTAGCCGGTACACCGTGACGTGGTGAAATAACGATGGTAAACACGTCAGCGGGGATAATACAGACGAGCCTGAGGAAGAAACTCTCTCAGGATAATTAATGTTCTTGATGCAAACAGCGAATGGAATAAAAGAACCTACTAAACCTACTAAATAAATTAATGTTTAAAATTTAAAACACTTTTCTCGAGCAAGCGAAAATTTTTTCACATTCTACAATCCACACACACGTTAAGTATTGACTCGATGAAATATCGACTTTCCAAACTAAGAGTTTTGCATAAAATATATAAAAAGATATGAAAGCGGTGATAACTGTCAAAAGTTAAGAAATTGTTGTGTTATTCAAATATCGCGAAAGAAATATCGCAGAACAAGAAACGTGGATGGAGTTTGTCGAAATGTCCGAAGCAAACGAAAGAAAGTCCGTTGTGTGGCGAGAACTAGACGGAACTAAAGTCCAAATACTTAAACTGATTCGTCGAAATATATGTCAGCGCAGTCTGCTATCCGCGCAAAGTAATCGCGAAGTTCGCGTCGCAAGAAGCTCTATCGGTCGAGGAAACACAAATCGGGAATGACAGCCGATCTACTTTGCGTCCTGAGAAAAGTTCGCGACTAGGAAATATCGATCTGACTGCTGACAAGCAAACTTCGCCCGAATCTGTCGCGGTCCTTCCATTTTCGTTTTATCTTCGCCTTTCGCTGCTGCGTCACGATCGTCGCGATTAACGTTTCACTGCGGTAAACAGCTGCCGCATTCATGTACTTTTTACTACTTCACAAACTACTGTTCTCCTCGAGTTCGTAATGCAGTAGCGCTATTACGGTCGAAATCTTGTCACGAAACGACTGCTACATTTGATGGATGTCCTACAATTATTATTCGAGTTTTAAAAATGCAGGTTTAATTGTCACTATTTTTTTTTTTAGAATGTCACAAAATATCTTTTCAGTGTTTCAAGATATCAATCAACAATGATTAATGTAATATCGTGAAATTCAGCATTGATCAAAATGCGGGTCGTTTGAAATTGTTACACAAAATATACAAAGTACGAGTGTTGAAAGTGCGACTTCTCATTATATACAGTTTCGAAACTACGAGAAGCGGCGCGTTTCCCCTTTGCGTAGCTTGTGCAT